ATGCAATTGTTTATGAACCAGATTTGATTCCCTTCAACTTGACCGTGATGGCGCAATGTTTCAAATATGATGGTGTTGGAATGATGATCCTTGGATGAGTGCATAGATTCTAACGGCCCACGGTGACCGCTTTTCTCACCGCATACCATCCGGTGTACCTCAACATGTTCACTCGCCCGCACCCGCCAGCTCCCCGAGACCAGATTCCCTGTACCGGCATCTACCAGCATCGTGGGTCTTGGGTGCGTCTATGCAAACCATATTAGGTCTGGTTCGCAGTTAAACGCGCATGCGATACGCGACACCTGCATGAAATGGCGGTCAAGGGACAGGATGTCCGCTGTTGTCAAAATCGCTGCAAGAAAGAGCTTAGCTCTGCAGGTACCCACCTGTTGTTTTCCCCTTCTCGCCGGTGTGAATTGCTTGCAGTAGTATCTGTTTATCTCCCGAGCAACCAAAGATTTTCGCACTTGTTCAGAGTTTGCGTTGGTGAAGCGGGGAAAAAGCTGAGGCCGGGTGGAGGTTGGGGTCGTCTCTATCAGCACTAGGTATCACTATCAGATGGGCGCACGGTTTGCTAGGTTTTCACGATGTCGACGATGTTGTCTCTGCTGCGAGCGAGGGAGATGGAGTGTTTGGAGTCTTGAAGTAAGTCACGCGGGTGATGCATTGGAGAAAGCCTATTCTGGTGTTGGCGAAACAGTAGATTGCGTTGTCTCGTATTGTGTTGTCTCTATGCTGTGTTGTCTCGTCTTGTCTTATGAGAAAGAGGTTTAGTTTTGACGCTCTAGAGTATTGGTGTGAGATGACGTGGTGCGTGTAGTGTGGGGTGTGCATGTTTCTCGGTCTGTGGCGTCCTCGCATCGAGAGACACGACTAAGACGTGCATGTATTGATGAGGCGGGGTGATGAAAAAGTTTGATATGGGAGCTGAGGCAGAGGGTTGTTTGACTTTATTGGTGTTGTGTGCTGTACCTTCAGTCACGAGACCGCATGTGAATGTGATGAGAGCTACATAGCGTATGAGTTGTTCACGTTGGAGGGGAGATGAAGCAGGTGACGGTAGATCTACGGAACGGGCAGTATCTCATGCAGAGGATATGCACAGCTTTGCGGGGGATACATCGGTGGTTCTGCTGTACACAGGTCGTCTGTTGCTCAGCTCACGTAAACACTAGCTCGATGGACCGAGGGCCAAATTGCGATCGCAACAACGGTAGTTCACTCGCAGAAGATTTACATGTCCTGTGTCTGCTTCGGACCGAAGCCTTGCGGAGTCCGTGGAGCTGACGTTGGATGTCTCCGATGAGAGATGCCGATAGGCAACGTTCGGAAAGCGGGGAGGCAGTGGTGATCCGTACACTGCAGAGACCCTGAGATGGCGAGATTGATAAAATCGGCGATTATATGGGCAACAAGAGGCTCGTTGGCCGGCTGAACTCTGGCATTCGCCGAAAGCTGGCATTGTCAGCTGAGCGCGCTGCTGATGTACAGGACGGTAGCTGAGATGTTGCGAAACGTAAGTGGCTGTTTCAACGCAATGAAATCAATAAAGACAAATATGACTGCGCAACCTGACTTCAAGGTCCAGTACCACCTACGTCGTCGTGCAGCAACCAGCGCCACAGCATGAAGCAACGACAGATTGTTCTATCGTAATCGGGAGAACGGTTGGCTCGAGGCTCAGCTACCGTTGCGCTAGCACGTTTCTTCTCCAACGTCTGTCTCCTTACTTCTTCCGAGACACAGATGCTTTTGACAAGAGGCATGGCAGCTGAAACAAAGCAAGTGTGCCGCGATCGAGCGATGCCATCTCTCTCCTGTGTCAGCGCCCGTCGTTTTGGCCAAGTCGGCGTTGCAGAACGGCCCCAGGAACCAGGTCGTTTAGGTCGGGTGCGCAAGGAGAACCGGTTTTCACAGAGGAGCACAATAGCACGACGTTGTTCACGGGTGACGCAAACGGACACGGGCTGCCCTGAGGTAGGATGCCTCCTATGTTCGTGCCGTGTCGCGTGGGTCTTTGACGTCCCGGCTGTTGTTGCAGGTGGGTGGTGCTCGGGAAGGCTGATAACGATGAGCGTTGCAGAGCCTACCGATGCGGAGTGGGGGACGAATGCGGTGTTCAGACTGATGACATTTCGGTATGCGCACCGGATAGGGTGCGGAGTATGACTTGCAGTGCACCGTACTCGTCTCTGGTGTAAGCTTGTTGGGCTACTGGGGATGGGTGCACGATTGGCTGGGTATTGGGATTTCACAACTGCCTGAATGCACTCATAACACGGAGGTTGCCAGATGACATGGCCAACTATTGTTGGCCTGGTGATACTGCCGCGCACAAGAATTATGGGTGTTTGAATAGAGAAAAAGATGGTCGTCAATAAAGCGTGCTAGTCAGACTTGGTCGTACGTCTCTGAGGTGATGGGCGATCGAGGTGAAAATTCGAAATAGGAGAGCTCGTGTCGGAGATTCTGTGCCCATCTGGCATCAGGCAGCATTCAGGGTGGGCCGGCAATCTACTCGGATAGCCTGTGACATGATCTCAACACGGGAGAAAGATTCTGGAAGAATGAGGGCCCCGTCGTAAATCTTGATGTTCCCTGGGCCCAACAGCTCGCCCAGCAAAAGACGAAACCATCGTCGAGTGCGCATGGACTGCAGTTCTTGGGTGACATTCAGGGTCCGTCGCTGATAGCGCAGGGACTGACAGGATGAACGACGGAATTGCGCGCGTCGGGAGGGAGCGGCCAGCTTGCAGTGGCCGTCGAAAGTCTGCTTTACTCGTGCAAACTCTCTCGAGACTCGAATGAGGCGCGGTCTATTGATGGGCAAAAGCAACTTTGCCGCACCTCCGCAAAGGTTCCCGCGCAGAATAGAGTTGGGCCTTGCGCTCGCTGCCGTTTGGTCGATCACAGGAGGTTACACGACGCGTCGGGCACTCCACAACGCGCCGCGCCCTGCATCGTTCTCGAAGACGCTTGAGATCATACTTTATCGATGATGCCATGTGACGCAGCCGCTCAGAATCCTGTCTCTGTTTCCATGTTTGGCAGCCGCGTCCATCGCTGTGGAGGAGCAAATCGCGAGCGCATCAAGGACGGTCCTTTCACTACGCTACTGACTCGAGCAGGGGATGAGCCTGACGGTCTATCTCGCCGTCGTTGTTCCGTGGTGCCGCGGGAGGCTAGAGGCACGCCTCGACAGCGAAACCACGTTGACGGGTGCCCACGGCGGACTCTGCCAATGGCGGCACGCGCTAAGCCCCTGACGGCCAATGGAATAAGGCTGCATGACGGCCATCCAGGAACCTGCCACAAATCAGGAACCGGCGCCGGAGCGAGGATGAAAGGGGTGGAAACGTGGGCCGCAGCGAAATGACAGCTTGATGCTTGCTTGTGCCTGTGACGTTCCTGACGCTCCCTTGGGATCGAGGGCTGGTTGCAGGAGGGCTGCCGGCACCCAGGGGGCAGCAGCGCAGGGCAGGCGGCGCGAGGGCAGGCAGAGCGCAGCTACTTGAGTGAGGATATTCTGAGAGTGGCTTTGCGGTGTGTGCGCTGTACAGAGGTGAGGCTATGTCGCGCGCGGTGAATTAGTCGTGGCCGTACATAAGACGCGTGCATGGCTAATGCACATGTATGCGCGCAGGACCAAAATGGCTCTCGTCTGCACGTCACGTCACGTGGGGGGCATAAAGGCACAATGGCAGCAAAAGTCAGCGCAGGGGGCCCAATGAAGGGCGTCGACAAAAAACATCTTGCAACAAATTCGTGCCATGGGCTGCCCGACAGTTGGGCGCTAACCGCTCCGGGCAGCCGAACGCTCCTTCCTGCTAAGCTTGGAACCACCTTCGCGCCGTCCTTCACCACTCGCCCCGAGCCTTGACTGTCAGCCCCCGGTGCTCATTTCGCGCCTATTCACTCCACCCCCCAGCGCCACACTCGCATCTCCCCCAAAAACAATCGCGTCGCCATGCTTCCTGCGCTGACCGCTCTGCACCTGCTCTCGCCTCCCCCACCACGTCTTGTCGCTGCGCATCGTGTTTCGCCCACGCGCTGCTAACTAAGCCGTCTTTGCCTCTCTCCGCCCAGCACCCGCCTCGCTGCCAACGCACGCAGCAGCGACCGCTCTCACCATAGCAACAGGCCGACTGCTGGCCCTCTGACCGCGCTTGTCCCGTCTGGGCCGCCCGATCTTCATTGTTACGACTCACAACGCTCCCCGAGCGCCGCTTCCACTCTAATCTCTTGGGCTAGCCCGCCGACTCGTGCAAAGACCCAGTACCGCACCCCTTGCTGTCTCTCATTACACGCGCCGTCCATCAATCACAGCACCCTCCTAAAGCCGGCGTGTTTTCGTTCGTGTGGCTCTGACCTCCATCACATCTCGCTCCCGCTAGATCGCTCCGTCTTCTACTCACCAAGCCGCATCACTGGACCTGGCCAGCTTTCACCCTCTTCTCGCACCATTCGGAAGTCCACATCCCTACTCCCCCGAGCGCACAGGCACGCTCAAATCTCCCAGCCCGATCATTAAGCCACCTGCGCTATGGTCACAGAGTCATTCCTCTTTCAACCTCACTAGAACATCCTAACCTGCGGAATACTACCCGTCTACCGTGGTCCTGGGCTTGACTCCACACGCCCTCCCAACCGTCGTCTCTCATTTTCTCGACATTCCCGCACCTGCATCAACCTGGACCCTTACTACACGCTCCTATCGCATCTCAAACCCTCGATACGCACTGAACTCCCCCTCCCCCTCAGCTCTCAACCACACCTCCCCTGACGTCTACCTACCACTACCACCTTCTGCAACGCGAATCTTCACATGAGATGAACTAAAGGACCCTCGAGAATCGAGCATCATCGCCCAAGGACTTCATCATTGGTAAGCCCCATCACTGCTCCATCATCACACTCCCTCTAACTTCCACAGTCCTTCCCATTGGGAGCATCTGCTATAACAGATCTTCAACTCAAAAGGGTACATTCACATCAATATGCATCCAGAATCACAAGCACAGCCACATGGCTGGGCCTCTCTTGAGGAGAGGTATGAGGTGATGAAGGAGATTGGCGACGGCAGCTTCGGCAGCGTCGCGCTCGCACGCGTTCGAACTGCGGGATCTCACATCGCTCGTCGTGGTACTCTGGTACGTACAACGTTCCACAGGAGCTAAGATATCGAGTCAACTGACGCGTCATAGGTCGCGATCAAGACTATGAAGAAGACGTTTGACTCATTCTCGAGCTGTCTTGAACTGCGAGAGGTCATCTTTCTACGGTCGCTACCACCGCATCCTCATCTGGTACCGGCTCTGGACATCTTCCTGGACCCCTACAGCCGAAGGCTTCACATTGCCATGGAGTTCATGGACGGCAACCTGTACCAACTCATGAAGGCCCGGGACCACAAGCCAATGGACGCGCATAGTGTAAAGAGCATCCTCTTCCAGATAATGTCCGGACTGGAGCACATCCACGACCGCGAGTTCTTCCACCGCGACATCAAGCCAGAGAACATCCTCGTCTCGACATCGCAACAGAACGACACATCGCATCCTTTCCGCCGCTACTCAGCAATGATGACCCCTCCTTCGACACCCCCAGCCTACACAATCAAGATTGCCGACTTTGGTCTTGCCAGAGAGACTCACTCCAAGCTCCCCTACACCACGTACGTTTCGACCCGATGGTACCGCGCCCCGGAAGTGCTCCTACGTGCCGGTCAATACTCAGCGCCAGTCGACATTTGGGCAGTTGGTGCCATGGCTGTCGAGATTGCAACCTTGAAGCCCCTCTTCCCTGGTGGAAACGAGGTTGACCAGGTCTGGAGGGTGTGCGAAATCATGGGCAGCCCCGGAGGTTGGGTCAACAAGCACGGCCAACGCGTCGGTGGTGGTGAGTGGAAAGACGGTGTCCGGTTGGCACAGAAGCTGGGCTTCTCATTCCCCAAGGTATGTCACATGGAAACTACAGTCTTAATCTCCAGCTAACGGTCATCTAGATGGCCCCTCACTCAATAGACACCATCTTGCCATCGCCACAATGGCCTGCCAGCTTGGCACAGTTCGTCACATGGTGCCTGCTTTGGGACCCCCGTGCCAGGCCTACTTCCCGACAAGCACTCGACCACGAGTACTTCCAAGACGCCGTAGACCCTCTACGACTGAAGTCCTCATCTTCCAGATTATTGGGTCGCAAAGGATCCGAACTCTCCGGCACCAACTCCCCAGACGCATCGCCCAAGCTCACGTCGAAGACCTCATCATGGCTCCGTCGATCATTGGTCGCACGTGAGAGCGCACCAGCAGTCCCGCAACACACCACACAGCAGCCGTTGTCACCGCGACCATCTCCAGCCCATGCTAACTCTGGCGATGTGAGTGGGTCAACGAAGCAGCGTCCTGCTGCCACTAAGCGAGCTACGTGGACGAATGGGGCCTCCAACAACGGAGCTCCCATCCCCATTCTGCCCTCCATCAAGCCGATCTCTCCTTTATCGGCGGAAGTCACTGCACAAGCCAATGTACGTGCTGCCAATGGAGAGCAAGCCGCCGGCAAGATTGGACGACAACTCTCTCTCGCATCACATGGCAACCACTACGCAGACGTGCATCGACAAGAAGCCGAAAGAGCATTGAATGGTCAATCAGAAGTCACTTCACCCTCAAACGGACAGAAGGAAGGTTTCTTCTCACACCTGCGGAAACGTGCTCGACGCCTTTCTGGGCGTTACCAGACTCCCATGTCGCCGAACTCTGACGATATCGAGGCCAACGCTGGATGTGCACCATGGGCTGCCACTAGCGCTAGGCAATCATTGGTGATGGACCAGTCACAAGGCGCAGCGTCTGGTTCTACCTCAGACTTCTCTGAGCTAGACAAGGCATTGCAACATGTCAGGGACAGTGTTGAAGCGCACTCCCAACAGACAGCCTCAACGAAGAGCTCGCGTGTTGCAACTAACCCAATGCTCAAACGCCACCACTCAGTGCCCCACGGTCCCGAGCCCCGGAACTCTGAGAACGCACCCAATGCACCGATCTCCAGCAGGACACGACGCGCGATGCAGAACAAATCGAACCCATCAAATAGGTACGAGACGCCTAATGAGGAAGAGGAACTGCTCAGCGAAGTTCTGGCATCCGCCACAAAGGCTGCAAAGAAGCTGGACAACCCGAAACCTCAAGGACCACGTGGTCCTGCGGCATCCTACCTGACACCGTCGCCATCAGCGAACCGTAACAGCGTGGGTTTCGGACAGTCTGACTACATGACACCCAGCAAGCCTATGGACATCTCTCAACATCAGAGCAAGAACGAGCAGCCTGTTTCCAAGTGGCCCACACCACCCGATGACGGCTCAGACTGGGCTTCAAGTGTGGCTGCCAGCCTCATGGCAGCACAGACCCGACACCGATGATATCCAACATCGCGGGACCCATACTTCTTTTCGCCTTGCCTTCGTTGCATGCTCTTGCATCCATATAATTGTAATTTGGGTCACCGCACCCGCTCTTTGTCGCTCCCTATACGACCGTACGACATTGAGCTCTCCCGTCTGGAACGGTGCACGATTACAGAAAGATAGACACAGACGCGACGCGCTGCAAAGCCCTCAAAAGCAAAGCGCACTTCCTGGGACGGTGTTACTGGCGTCATAACACATCATCGTCCTTTTGCGCAATCACCATCGTTTATCATCTCACAACGTTAACGTTGTCGTTTTCCAATATCACCTCCACATTCGCTCTGTACCACCACCACATATTTTCTTTTTTTGAATCATCATCTCGGGCGGCATCATACATCATACTTGTGGCGGATCGACGCGAGATTGTCGTCTGTTCATTTCGTGGGAAATTGTCGATACCTTGTCATCAAGTTACTTGGGTGTTACTGCAGGGATTGTCCGTGTCTGGGAAAACCCAGTGTACACCTTGCTTCTGTTTCAGCTTCTCTTTGGCGCGCCTTGTTGGCGCTATCCCGTACTATACTAGACCGAGCTTTTTCCTTTATGTGCTTCATTTCGTCGGCGGATACCCCCCAATTTGAGCATTTGGCGACTACATCATACCGTCAGCTTTTATCTCCTCTACTATATATCCTTGTTGGTTAAAAGGGAAGGCTGGGGTGAAGGAAGGGAGGCAAACCATGTTTTCTTGGGATAAACTTGGTAACAACATGGGAGGTGGGTAGAATAGTTTTTGAGCGATCAACTGGCCCTGTTTCAACTCTTCTCTTTGCGTCCCGTTTTCTACTTGCATTCTCCTTGCGTACTCTCATCTCACTATCTTGACTTTTCTTGCAAATCCACACACAACCCGTTGTAATATGTAATAGGACATATAGCCCAGGATGGCTAGTCATTGTACGTTTCTTGCCTCGCGTCTATCCACGCACATGGCTCATGGGAAGGAGTTCGATACCACCTGGCTTGTTTTTTCTCTATTATCTACTATCAACAAAGCGATTGCCGCGGTGCCGAACGCGCATCTCCTATGTACCATTAGTTAGCCATCTCCCTACCATCAATGAAAGCTGCTCGCTTGCCTGCCTCCGTCGCGGCACCAGACTGCAAAAACACCACACTACGTCTCCGCTCTCCCATCTCCATGCCTGACCCTGTGAAATCAATCTACCAGCCTCGGGCCAGCCTTGACGGTTGCGTGATCCGCTCCACAGGACACGCAACGCCACTGCGTCACTCGCCTACTCGACCACCCTCGACTAGCCAACGCATCACTCCCGCCACTGCCATGAACCCTTCTTGCGTTCACGACCAAGTGCACTAGCCACGTCTTCACGTACTTACAAGCATCTTCCCTAATCAGATCTTTCTCTCGCCTCCGAAAGATCTCCATCGGTCCTACTCGTGATCTTCAGCGTGCATGTGTATGACAGTCATTCCTTACCTACCATTGACAGCATCTTCCCAGATAGATGGCTGGATACATGGTACTGGAGTGTACAGCGGTGTCCTCGTCCACCACGGTGAAGTCGGCAGGCATACGCTGACAGTCAGCCGCAGCGTCGACCAAGTCCATAAACCTGGTGATCTTCGTCTACGCGCACACATCACCACCTCTTCTTCTGCTACACCCAAAGCACAACAGCGTATTTCCACTGCTCTATCTAACCTGCCCAAACCGAGGTGTCTTACAACGCGGAAATGAAAGGTAACACGGTAAGGTGCGGCGGGGACGGCCCGTCGCATATGCAGGTCTGTGTACATATGCAGCCAGCCACCAGCCACCAGCCACCAGCCACTACCACAACGGAAAAGGAGATGGTATGACGTCGGTAGTCGCGATTGAGATTGCGGTCGCGATTGCGATCACGAGCTCGATTTGGCATGTTCAACTGAAACTGTTTTTGCTTTTAGGAGGGGGCAGAGTCTGGTACGCATTAAAGGGGGGATATTGGGGTGGGATAAAAAGTAAGTATGGTTTATCTAGCTCGCGAGCGAGCGCGAGCGCGAGCGTCGTAGTGTTAGTTCAACACGGAAGAACTTTCCGGTAATGACTGATCTTGCGTTGTTTCATGTGGTGCTACATCGAGTTGATTGCAATCAATGGTCGAATCTATTGATTCTAGTATGGACTTTCCAAGTCTCTGTAGAGACGATGCCGCATAGCCGTTACAGTATTCCCCATATCTAAGCAACGCCGTGCAATGCTCCTGCCTATATCTAATGCCTTTGTCTCTTCGTAAGCATAGCTTTACCATCCACCACCGGCGGTAACAGCCAGCCCAGCAACACGTTCCATGTCACTCGGCTTCTTCTTGCCAACATCGCTTTCGACCTTGATGTACGAAGTGTATATCAGCTTCTGCTGATCGACGCCCGTGATATCAGCCCAATGTGCCATGAGCTGCTTCATGCGTGACCTCGATATCCCATCAACGACATCTTGGTCAGGAGAGTTTCCATTCGCCTCCCCATTTGTCATGTGTTGATCGCCGTCCCCGTTTGATCTCTCTTCTTCCGAGTCTGTACCCGAGAAGTAGGCTTCGTCCACCTTTGCCAGCCACTCTTTCTGCTCCTTTGGGCCTGGCTTGGGCGCGGGCGCATCTTCATTCGCCTCTTGAATCCCTTCGTAGACGCGCACTTCTTCCACTTCCTGAACCTTGACTTGACCACCGCCGTTTGTGCATCCACCGGGACAAGCCATGACCTCCACGTACGCATAGTCCTTTACACCCTCACCCGCAGCAGCGACTGCACCACCTGGTCTCCTGCTAACACCCGTTTTGCCGCCCGGTAATCTACTGGCTTTTGCTGGCTTCAGTCGCCGTACTAAGTTCTGAATGTTTCTGAAACCATAGAATCGTGCTGCTTTAATAATCGTTTCTGAGCCACGAACTACTGAGTATTCCACTACATCAGCATTGCGCCCTCGAACTGTCGATATTGAAGATCCCGGGTTTTGAGCTTGGTAGGTTTGCAGTATGTGGTGTAGATATCCGCCAGATGGGCCGGCAGCTGCGCTTTGGTTCTTCCGGCGCGAAGAAGGGAATAGGAATGCATCTAGCTTTGGGTCTGGGAACGGCGTTCGGTCGCTAGATGGAAGTGGTGTACGAGGAAGGGAGGCGAAGTTGATGCCACGGGCCGCTGCGAGATGTAGGAGTTCGCGAGCTGTGATTACGCAGTCGGTGTCGCGAATCTTTTCTTGCGACTGGTCATAGCTAGGTAGCCATGCAGCTGATGTTAGCTCTCCACGGCTAGCTTCAAGCTTCTTATCGAAGCATGGCATGATGGCGAGGTGCCATATCTGAGATGGCGACACGTTATAACGCTCGCTAAGAACCGACTTGATCAAAGTGCCGGTAAGAGCTTGCGGCGACTTGAGTCGCGAGAGATGCGGGAGTACGTATGGATGTGTCTTTTCTGCGTAGCATATCCATCCCGGACAGGCAGATGTGAGTATAGGAGCTTTTGGAGTCGTATCGATTGAGCCCTCGGATCCAGGCTTTGGTGTAATCTTAGATGCTTCGGGAGAGAGTGCATTTGTGACCTCGTCTGCTGCGGCAACGAGACAGGCTTCGCGCATCGCGTTGGTGTCGATAATCCAGGTGAAGTCGCTTCCTTGGTGACCGCCAGACCTCAGGCCTGAAGGTCCACTAAGGAGCTGCGCGATCATGTTTCCAGCCTCTACCTCGGAAATGTTGAAGACAGCTGCCAGACTTGCGCGCGACTGTGGTGAGACGCTTGCGACGAATAGCTTTCCTTCAGCATTTTGCCCATTCATATCTTTCTCTGTCCTATTGCTCGTGTGTCCATTCGTATGTCCATTCGTCCCATTGTGTGCCAGCCACGGTGCGCGTAACGACGGGTGGGTATCAAGCGTTGTGAGGACCTCGGTATGCGATTGCAGCGAAACCAATACGGCTTCCGCACTTGTCACACATCCTGAACAGGCGAGACAATCGGTAAGCGATATCGAGGCGGGTGGCGGCGGTTCTGAGGCGGCGGCTTTCTCTTCAGTTGTGACTTCGTATGGGTTCTAGCATCATTGTTAGAGTGCGCCCGCGCATGACGCAATGCGATAACCTGACATACCGAGTTGTCTGCCTGTTGTACGGGGAGCGTCTCTATAGGTTTTATGCACGCGACACCTGGTGATATGAAATCGTTGAGGTCGTCTGCTGAAAGAATGGCGCTCATGTTGCGCCGTGTTCTAGTGGGGGAGGGGTGGCAAGCGGTATTGCGATGAGAGTAAAAACGACCGCAGAGACAGCAAACACCAGACTATGCAGGCAAAATGTTGAGGAATGAGCGGAGGAAGAACGAAGAGCGCGATACAATTAAGAAAGTCCAAAACTCACGCCGCCCCAATGTCGCGGAGAAAGCAGTCACGCAACGCGCCGGCCTATCGATAGGCTCGCATTTCCAAAAGATTCCGAGATTACAAACCTCCGCGGCGAGTCGCCGCCACACTACCTAGGTATCCACATCTTTTGCATGCCCGCCGTCACTTCTCACGTGCTTACACATGCCAATGTCGAGTACAGCAGGGACATATATCCACACTTGGCTACATTAGCTGCCGCAATATACTCGCTCACGGAGTACAGGAGCATACAGCATGCGCCCCGCATGCTGTTCGGCAGATCGATTTAGCCTGGCAAGCCGCGCATCGAATGGTCGGAAGGAAGGCAACAAACTTGGAAATGACCAACATGAATATAGTATTTCGCTTTACTCCTGACCATGCCGTGCCACGGGAGTCTGACTTGCTCACCATGTTTTCTTTCCTCACACCTCTGCAGTGTTGCTCCTGCGTACCGCCCGCATGCGACGCATTTCCATTGATACCCTGGGACTGATGTCTTCCAAGAGCGGCACGAGGTTTGAGGTCGCAAGGAAAAGGAGTGGGTGGATGTCAGCGCCTAGACTGCTGACGACATGTGTCTTCTTCAGTGTCTTGTGGTTGTGGTTCAACATAGGGACAAGTGAAGCCCTGATACCAGAGGATTCGTCCGCCTATGTACAGGACGAGAGCTTAAGAGACATACTGAACATAACTCTAGGAGTACAACCTATTAGCTTCCCACGTTCTGCTATACACTAACACACCCAAGTTTGAGAAGATTCTCGTCCTCAACCTGCCCTTCCGGACCGATCGTCGCGATGCAATGAGTCTTTCAGCAGCAGTTTCCAATATCAAGCTCGAGTTCGTCGAAGGCGTAACAGGGGATAGTATCAACAACAAGGCATATCCTCTACCAGAAGAGAACAGAAAGCTTTCAGCAGGTATCCGAGGAAGTTGGAGAACACACATGAACGCCCTACAACAGTACACATTCTCCACCCTTGACCAGGAGACATCATTGACCTAACAACATCCAGAGTAGTCAATCAAAACCTTACTACGGCCCTCATCCTAGAAGATGACGTAGACTGGGACATCCGCGTCCGCCAAACCCTACAACGCTTCGCCCTCGCCTCCCGCTTCCTATCCTCAAACCACACCTTCATCCCCCTCTCCAAACTGCACGCCCACCGAAATACCGAAACAACACACACCGCCCTCCAAATCATCGACACAACCAACCTCGCCAAAAAGCTCATCTCCCTCCCTCTATCATCCCTCCCACGCCAATCCCACCTTACCCACACCTCATCACCACCATCACCCTACGGCGACCCCACAAAATGGGACATACTCTGGCTCGGCCACTGCGGAACCGGCATGTCACGTGCAGCCCCCGGTCAGCACTCCCAAGTCTACGACCACGCAGTCCACCGCACGATAACCCTAACGCACACCAACGACGCCACGGTACCCTCACCCCAGCACCTAAAAGCCCATCCTTTCCAAGGCGAACTAGACGCCCTAGCCACCGCTTTCCCACCACACACACGCATCTACCACCGCGCCACAGGCGGCACCCTCTGTACAGTCGGATACGCCGTCTCGCAACGCGGCGCCCGGCGCTTGTTGCATCAATTTGGGGTGGCGGGTTGGAACGGGATTTTCGACAGTGAGCTTGGGCGGTGGTGTGCTGGGAACGATCCGGATATGGGGCGGCAGGCTCAGCACGCTTCTGGCAGTGCTAGGGGAGGTGGCGGCGTGGGTGTGAAGGGGGATGAGAGGGTTTGTCTAACGACTCAACCACCGGTTTTCGCACACCATCATCCGAGTGGTGGGGAGAGTGATATTGGTGGTTTGGGAGGCGGGTTTGCGAAGGGGGTTGAGACGAAGTATCTGAGGTATAGTGTTAGGATGAATTTGGGGGCGTTGGTTGGGAGGACGGGAGGGGAGGTTGGGGCGGAGGGTTTGGTGGATCAGTGGCCTGATGGGGGAGAATGAGGGTATGGATAGGAGGCCGGTCTTGTGTATAGGCATGAAAGCGGGCCAGGCAGGGACGATTGAGTGAAGTGTCATGAGTAGTGGTTATTCTTCAACTTCTCTGCCCTAGCTATTGAGATCCACCTACTGTGGCTTTTCTTTCGCTCTTTAGATCACCTCTTCCTCCTCCTCCTCCTCCTTCTCCAATCAATGCACGGATCCTTTCCCAAAGACAAAACTTCCCGGTACCCGCCGAGGCGTTCTTCCTTTCTCCCTCCAACCTGATGATTAAAATAGGAACGAACGACTCGAAGGTATCATGAACAAACAGGCGGCCGTCCCGTCGTGCCCTTCCTTGTAACGCCAATGAAAAGCCAAAATAATGCTCCCTATAAACAATGCACAAGCTCACTGGGTATAATGACCTTGCGCCTTTTGTGTTCAAATAGACCCAATGCGTGCTGTAGATGGTAGCTTCGACATGACTCCGGGCTCCGCTGGTTGCATGATCGGTGTTGCGCCTGTGTTATATGCTATCGCCTTTGCGCGATCCAGTAATTTGCGTGCACAGTAGTGCAGATCGTCTGTCCTGGTCGGGTCGGCTGGTTGCCGGTGGCTTCATCCAACAACGTTTCGTGCTCGAGTCCGTCTTGATCCTCCAATCGCAGAGACCAAACGTGCGGAATGTCGAACACAAGTATCCTACGCATGGCAAAATCGCGTCCCTCAAAATCCTCAATGCTTTTGCGCGACCAGCTCTTCACTCAATCAGCGGTTTCCGTACGCCTCCCACAATTGCGATACCGAGTGCGCGCAAGCCTTCTGGGTCGTTGGATCGAACAATGGTACTGGCGGGCAACATGGGGTTGTCAGGTGTGACGTGTGCGGCGTCCTTGGCTGCCTGCTCAATGGCCTCCATTTCCTCTTTACAGCCTGCATGGTCAAAAGGACATACCACAATGGGCTGACGGAGCAGGATGTCTCGGGCTGACGACATTTGCGCCTGCGTTCAGTCAGCATAATCTTCAACTTGCAATTCGCCCAGTCCAGCCTACCTTGACTGTGAGGTAGTACTCAATCTTGTATAGAGTACCAGTCGTCGTAAAACCAGTAACAGCGTACATGGGAAACTCCTTCTGCCCTCTTGGGATAACACCTGCGTTGTCTCGTAGATCTTTTGCGGGGAAGACTAGCCCAAGGTTGGTGAAATAGCCCGCTTCGGGCATCCTCACTCCGACGTGTTGCTGCGTTTTTGCCAGCGTCTTGACTTTACGAGTCGGCTCATCTCCTTCGTGGTTGAAGATGATCTCTTCGTCTATGCCGACTGTAATCTTGTTGATTGTGACCTTCTTCGCCTTGCTCAGCCAGTCGGGGTTGGGACTCAATTTGATGTATACTGAGACTGGGTCCATGGGTCCATAACTCCATCTCGGCAGGCTGATGCCAAGGGTGACGAGGTGGTCCGTCACTCGTTCTGCGCTTTCGGGTCGATTGTACATGCCAAAGGTAGAGAGGGTGTCGTATCGTTGTATCGGCACGGCAAAGGGATACTTCTTCTGTTCCTGGGGCCCTTGCTGTACTGTCACGACGAGTTCGTAAAACGTCTCCGCCGTCCGACTCGGTAATTGTAGACTCGCGGGCGGGACTCTCCTCGCTACCTCCTCGCCGCCGCGTCCGTACGGTATGAAGATGACGAACGGGAGGTCCATACATAGTATACTCTCATGCTCTCTTCCGGGAGAACATCGATATAGGAGCATCTCCTTACCGACGATGTCGGTAATCTCTTTGCGCGGGGCTGCCAGATGCTTCTTCGTAACCGAGTCGGCGGACGGGTGTATGGTTTCGCGACGGTGCAATGCGATGGTGACGAGGGAGACATTGACGGGCGCCGACACTCCAATGAGTGGCCGTATCTCGACTTTGCCTTCTATTCGAGGCTATGACATGTCAGCAATGGCCAGTACCCTTGTCGAAGGGAGTCGGTCATACAGCGACTCGACGCGGCTGGATGGAGCGCAAGACGTGCACTCATAACAGAAACAGATTGGAGACACGTACTAGTGTTGCTGATATGCCCGGATAGCCAACCAGGAAGTTACTGTTTGGCGGTCCTGAGACGCGAACGAAGGCCGACATGTTCGTTTCTCGCAGCGCAGGCCTGGGAGGGCAGCGGGCGCTGCATGGGCGTGTCCGTGGCCTTTCAGAGTGCGGTGCCCTCGTCCGAGTCGCGCGTTGGAGGCTCTAGGGCAGTGATGCGCCGGGCAGCTATGCCGTGCTGGGAGCTAGGTAGCCTTCCGGGCAGCCAATTGTGGGGTTGAGATGATGTAGGCGCCTCGTATCTCGAACCCGCGGGGCTCAGCGTGGCAGTGAGGCCGGTGGGTGCGCGGCGGGCCGACGGCTAAGGTTTGCGATGTAGAAATGGGCGTGTCCTGCGTGAATGCGCGGGGATACTGTGGTGGATTACGTCCCGAGCGTGGTAGGGCTGTCGCCGGGTGGAGCTTATGCGGCGGCGCTTATGATGAGGTCGGCCGTCTGCCAGTGTCGCGAGCAGAGGAGGCAGCGTGGGCAGCGGGCGGTAGCAATGATGATGACAGCGAATGCAGGGCGATTGCACACAGTAAGCGCAGTCGGATAGACGCGCGATGTTCTAGGCGCGACGAGGTGGAGGTGGATGGGCGCTCAACTTCGAGGGTCCGATTCGTGCGCCATCATCGCTCCTTCCAAACCACAAACACGACTGATCTGCACCCACCACCATGTCCGTCACAGTGAGTCCAACCGCCTGCCTACTGCAAGCTTGTTGCTAACAGTGACTAGCTGCATACGACAAAGGGCGATATAAAACTCGAAATATTCTGCGAAGCCGTCCCCAAGACCGCCGAGAACTTCCTCGCCCTCTGCGCGTCGGGCTTCTACAACTCTTCACCCTTCCACCGCCTGATCCCCTCCTTCATGGTCCAGACGGGCTCGCCAGCCTCCGACCCAAAGTCCAAGACTTCCACATCCATCTACGACACGCCAAACCAGCTCTTCGAGGACGAGCTTCGGCCCGCGTTGCGACACAATGCGAGAGGCATCTTGAGCATGGCGAACAAGGGACCGAATTCAAACGGCTCGCAGTTCTTCATCACGTTTGCGCCTGCGCCGCACTTGGATGGGAAGAACACCGTCTTTGGAAAGGTGCTCGAAGGATGGGAGGTACTGGATGACATGGAGGCCGTTCAAGTAGACAAGAAGTCAAGACCGCAGGAGAAGATGGAGATCAAGAATATTACCATTCATGCAAACCCGCTGGCAGGATGAACAATATTTTACTGGGCACAGCGGTAGTAATGCGACTCATGTCAAGCTGGAAGCGTAGTGTCTGATTGGAGCCTGAAGGATGTCGCGTCATCTGCAGAAAAAGGAAGCGCGGATCAAGATCTGAGAGAGCCGACCATTCACACTATCGGCGTTGGGCAGAAGGATTTCGAGTCGCTATAGGCATCACGAAGCATGGACGCAGGGAAGAGTTGGAAGAAGATCATGTCACACTGATCATGGCTGGCGAGGCCTTGGTATCTACGAGCGCCGACCTAATGCAAGAGTCAAGGAAATCTAAGAGACATCGAAGTTAGCCCTACGCGCCATTGGTCGTTGTCCCGTTCGCTGCCATGCTAGCCGCATGCTCCTCCTCGTAGCCCTCCGTCTTCATGTCGAGCAACCCAAGTTCCTCCTCCTCCGCCTCTGTCCTCTTGTAGTCCTCGACCTTGATCTTTGGGTCGGGCTCCGGTGCCGTGAAGCTCTGGACGTAGCTGCTGGCGAGAGGGTCTTCGAGAACGAGAGTGAACTTGTCTTCGCCGTTGATGGCTGCAGAGAGGTTGTGGAAGAAGGTGTTCCACTTCTGCTTGGACTCTGAGTCCATTGAGTCTCCTCCACCGCCAGCGTCGAAGATGGAAGATTTCAAGTCATCGCGTACTTGGGTCAGTAGACCTTCGATCGTGGTGAACCTGCCACCAAGAGTACCGGGTTCAACGCTGAGGTTGAGCTCGAGACAGGACATGGCGCATGATTCGGCCTTGAGGATATCTCGCGACAGGTCTTCCTTGCTGTCAACGGTGACTGTGATACGACGACCCAGCTCAGGAACTTCGCCTCCGGTTTTGACCTCGTTACTTCGGTCTGCATTGCATTAGCAGGTAAACGTTGATTGTTCCATGATATAAACTTACATCCGCAGTGATCGCATACTGTGCTCATCAGGACCACCTGCTTGAAGTGGGGAATGTTGACCATCTTCATGTTTGTGGTGCACGACTTGGTGCATCCCGGGCAGCTGGCAGGGAAGGAATAGACCTGGTTCTCCACAATGTCGTCCTCATCCACGTTGTTCACCATTGGGGCGTGAGAGGATGGCATCTCTGGATACATTTGCGAAGCGTGGTACTCTGGTCGGATTTCTGTGGCGGGCGCTTCACCGCTGGCGTCTCCGCTGGTGTCGCCCAGACCGAGCGCTTCGTTTTGCGCCGCCGTTCGTGGGTATTCGTTGCGAGAGTATTTTCCTGCGCCAAGTACACTGGGAGGTTCGATTGACGAGTTGCCGGCAGGGTCGTCGATTGTGATCTTGAACGGCAGCTTCTCTCCGGTGGCCATCTGCTTAATCGTGGTGATGACTCCCTGTAGCTGCTCGTACACCTCTGGCACCACCGCCTTCCTCTCCTCCTGCTTCTGCTCCAGGTCTTGTGCTACCATTGCGAGTATGCCTTCCACATTCGTCAGTTGTCCGCGCCCTTGTGGTATCTCTAGATCGATGTCCTCAATTCGGAACACTGCGGTGTCGCTCTTGATAATCTGACGGCTCAGATCGTCGGCCGTTTCGACTTTGAGAGAGAACTTGATGCCTCGTTGCTGGATCTCGCCGGCGGGTTGAACCTCGGAGTTCTTGAAGTGGCAATGCGGGCATGAGAAGGACATGAGGACGATCTCGCGGAAGAAGGGGATTCTTGTGAGGAGGAGGCGCGTAGTACCCTTTAAAATATCAGCTGAATTTATCATTACTTTTCAAATGCACCTACATCTTCGTGACAGTTCATGCACATGCTTTCGATCTCGTCGACAACCTTTGTGTCGTCGTTGTCTCCCTGGGCGCTCGCCTCGGCGACCTTGCGGCCCATATCCTCGAAGAGATCCTTCGCAAGGCTCTGTTGCTGTGCCATGTTTGCAATCGATTAATGTTGGTGTAGGGTGGTGTTGGACAAAGTAATTTTGCTTGCGACTGTATTGACTTTCGCAAGTTCTGATGACATAACTCCTCGAATTTTTTGAGCCCCGCGCTTGCATAGCGGGGTGTCCACGGGTCGCTAGGCCCTTCCATGCAGGTGGGCTGCATTCACTCAGCCCTACGGGACTTACAGCGCAAAGTCCATGAAATCGAGTCCGCCCGTGCCCGAGTCTTGTGTCTTCTTCTTTTCAAGCATAGCTTGCAGGCCGCCTTTGCGTGCCCTCTGTCTTTGCTTGCTGCTTGCATTAATCGTCTTTGGGGCTGCATCCTCTTCTTTCCTAGTCGTAGTCGGAGCCGCGGACGTTGGGACTGTATCCAACAGAGACCGTGATCTCTTGACCTGTCTGCCAGGCCTTCGCTGAAGCGTCTGAAGTGTCTCTCGTTGGCATCGCAAGCAGGTATACTGAATACTTTTCTCGGGCACCGACGACTTTCTGCCAGTGCTTTTGCGCTGGTCTTTGTTCGAAACTTTGCACGACCATCCTGGAATCATGACATTCCCGCATGCGCCGCAAATACTTCGTCGGAGGGCATCCGTCTCCTTGCTTGAAATACCGACTTCAGCATCTTCGATTAGCTTGTTGCATGCATTACCTAGAAACGCTGCTGTTGTTGGCGAGGGAATTGCGAGGAGATGAGCGGCTTCCTGAAGGAACTTCGCCCTCAGCTCTGTTTGAGTTGCTGAAGCCATGTATTTAGAGGACCTGAATGATCTCTGCGCAGATCTTGAGAATCTTCCTGCAGGTCCAGTATCTACACGTGCTCGCTAGCTTATCATAACTCCGACCCCCGACGCTAGTGCTGCAGGGCCGTGCTCTTACTTTCTTCGACAGCAGCATTCATTGCAATGTTTACTCTGCGCGTATTGCGATTTCTGCGCTATTGTACTGCGCAACAGAGCTCTAGTAGCAAGTCTGCGATCGCGCTACTAACAAGCCTTGCTCTCACTAACTACCAGTTCACCAACCTCCAAGTATGGCCGCCCCAGAACTGGTAGAACAGCAAGGCGTGCGCATAGCAGTCGAAGGTTGCGGCCATGGAGTGCTACACGAGATCTATGCGTCTGTCGCAAAAGCTTGCGAGCTAAAAGGCTGGCCAGATGTGGATCTCCTAATTATTGGCGGCGACTTCCAGGTACGTCAACCCTTCATAATGCTCATCCAGTGACTGACTTTGTAGGCTGTTCGAAACGCGTCCGATCTCAAGGCAGTATCGATGCCCTCCAAGTACTACGCCATGCACGACTTTCACGAGTACTACTCAGGCTTGCGCACAGCCCCGTATCTCACCATATTCATCGGCGGCAACCACGAAGCGAGCAACTACATGTGGGAGCTCTACTACGGTGGGTGGGCCGCACCAAAGATATACTACATGGGCGCAGCCAATGTGATAAGGCTGGGACCACTGCGCATTGCTGGTCTGTCTGGTATCTGGAAAGGCTACAACTACAAGAAGCCACACTATGAGCGCTTGCCCTACAACAGTGACGATGTTCGGAGCATCTATCATGTTCGAGAACTCGACGTGCGGAAACTGCTTCAAATACGGACGCAGGTTGACATTGGACTGAGCCATGACTGGCCGCGCGGTATGGAGTGGAAAGGCAATTACCGGCAGCTCTTTAGCTGGAAGCCGGACTTTGAGCAAGAGGCCAAGGACGGTACTCTTGGTAGTGTTGCTGCAAAGGTAGTCCTTGAGCGCCTGCGACCACCTCATTGGTTCAGCGCCCATATGCATGCTAAGTTTCCCGCCGTTTGGGACCACGCAGAAGTTCCGACTGCTCCGCCACCGCAAAAAGATGCTGATAGTGCTATCCCGCGAGTCGTAAACGACGGCGAGATTGATCTGGATGTATCAAACGAGGAGCCAATACCAGCACCTAAGAATGATGCCGAAATTGATCTTGACATGGATTTGGACGAGGACGAGGTGGTCCCTGTACCAGTCGCAGAGCCCAAGGAGCCTATACAACCTGCTGATATGGAGAGCGAGACTCAAGTTCCAGAAGACATTCGCAGCCTCTTGCCGGAATCATTCTCACGTCCGAAGGCTGAGACAGTACAGACCCTCCCCTTTCCTGAAGATATAACGAACAAGACGACCAACTTCCTCGCACTAGACAAGTGCTTGCCCAAACGGAGCTTCCTGCAATTGCTGGAAATACAACCACATACACCTGCGGAATTGCAACGGCCTCTGCGATTGCAGTATGACAAGGAGTGGCTTGCCATTACTCGTGTCTTCGCCGATCACCTTACTGTAGGGGATCCCTATGCGCAAGTCCCTGCAGACAAAGGCGATGCGGTCTACCGACCTCTTGTGGAGAAAGAGATAGCTTGGATCGAAGAGAACCTTGTTAGAGCTGACAAGATGATGATACCTGAGGATTTTACAGCAACTGCGCCGACATACGACCCCGCACTAGGCATACATGTCCAGGCTACCCCGCAAGAGTACAGTAACCCGCACACTCAGTCATTTTGCAACTTACTGCAGATCCCAAATGTGTTTCATGCGTCAGATGAAGAGCGGGCACAATTAGCGCAACGCGGTCCGAGACCGGAGCAACAGCGGTCCAATCGAGGCGGGGGAAGAGGCGGAGGTGGACATAGAGGGGGTGGGCGTGGCCAAGGGCATAGGGGACGTGGGAGGGGCGGAAGGGGTGGTCGTGGTCGGGGAAGATGGTGATGACTTAACCATATGCCTGAGCCGATACGAAAGTTTGAACGATGCAAAGGAAGTCGTCATCCGTCCAGCTTATCCAGAGCCGCACTACTCAAACTTCAAAACAGTCTAGCAGAGTGCGCAAATTTCGTGGACTTGCGATATGCTCCACGATACCAGTGTAGCCTCACGATGGCTCGATGGCCACGACATTGTATACATGACAAGTGCAATTGGTGCCCAAGACTAACAAATTGCACACGCGGCTAGCGTCGTGTGTCCGCTTATATCTGCAACTTAACCTCGAAAAGTCGGCTCCGCTGCCCACTTGACATGACGGATGGCGCAGAAGTTTGGGGTCTACCGTTGTCACAGACCCACAAGGGTCCGGGCGCCGGACAGTTTGAATGAGGACCCTGCACGATGATGTCGACTAGCTGCCGAGTATGGCATTTCGAATACACCGCAAACCTAGGCGAGGCCTCTCGTTTGAAGCTTGTCCTGTTGTCGCAATCGTTCGCTGGCAAGCGGAGCCGGGCGGCGCTTTAGACAAGGCCGTGGTTTGGAAACTATAGCCAAAGTGGTGGCTGTAATATTGGATGGCTCTCGTCCTACGTCAGAGGCCCGGCCATACTCGCGATGGACGCAGCGGACCCGACGAGAACACCGCATGCGAGCTGCCGTCGTGCGGACACAGCTTCAATATAACTGCTGCGGATAAAGTGCTCAGGCTCGGTCTTGCCTCGCGACTGCCTGGGGATCGTGCTGATCGCAGGCATGTTAGGCGCAAGTTTATTTGACACGGCGAGCCGATATTCGCAAGCTGTGGCGAAAGGGTTGCGCGTGCTGAGCAAGAATACCCAAGGCTCACAAGGTCGCCGCTGTCGCGCTGCGCATGACTGGGTAGAGGCTGGAGGCGGCGGGTCGGATGCGCAATCCTGCCAGCAGTCGTGCGAAGACGTCCGTAATCTGGTTGACGCTTCCAAGCGGCTTGGGAGAGCCCTTACGGATATGTCAGTTCTGCGAGCGCTGCTATTTCCAGTACGCCCACCCATGGGACTGTGCGACTGGAGACTTGTCGCACGCGGTTACGCGCCCGTTATGGCCGCACGAAGACCGTGTGGCTGCCAGCAGAACGCTGTCCAGAACGTTTTGGTACGTCATACCCTGCCCTTAGCGCCGCCGTTATATGCATCGAGGCTTCGCGATCGGCGGGACAGACCCTGGATCGCACTGTAGCAAGTCCCTGGCCTCGTGTGCCGTCGACACACGGACCCCGTCCACCTGCTCGTCCACACACGCCCTGAGATATGTTTAAAAACCTTTCGCCGCCCTTGCATGCCTAGGCTTTGTTCATTACTTCGGCATATATCGTCTACCATCGCTTCGAGCTTTCACCCTTTCCACTCTCGCTACTACACTATTTCCGGTATCCGCAACTGCCTGCTCTCTTGGTATACTATATCCGGACATTGCCACATCGAAGTCTGGAACATATACCATAAGCCACGCTCGACACATCACGCGTAGATCATATCAGCCACCCAGCACTATATATCGATACTGGTGCTATAAAGATCTGCATCTCCCCACATCCATTCACACACAACGACCGTTCACCCACTCCAACACTTCACTACCACTATCGACGCAATGGCCTCTCGCTTTGTCGAAAACCTCGAAGAGGTCCCGATCAGTCACCCCCACCTCAACGTCTCACTGGACGACATCCTCGCAGAAGAGAGCCGCAAGAGATCCTCTTCTCAGTCGTCCGCTAGCTCAGACCCTCGCCGGTCAGGCAGCAGCTCTACACCGAGTCCTACATCACCCACTGCCACCGAAAGCAAGCTCAAGCGCGCCTTCACTCTGGGCAGCAAGAAGGGTCGCCGAACCTCCTGATGAATGAAGTTCGACGCGCATCCATTTCATGCGTCAACACTCCACATGCCCATTACGAATAGCTATGAACAACGGTTATCAGACCATAACGACACCACCAAGACTTTCTCGACCAAGCGTTGGAAGAGAACAGTCATCGCCTGACGAGCGCCCAGCCGTCAGTCAGCCTCCGCCTAGCCGACACCCGGATGAATATTGAAACGTCATCACAACAACATCCATAGCGTGGTCGCTAGTGCCACGACAAGCACGCGCCCCATAACACACGCGCCCCATCGTCGTCATCCTTACACCGCCACAATGTGCGCTTTAGTGATGGAAAGTTACGATGGAATTAGTGCTTGGAATACCTGGTAGTGGAACGGAATTGTCGTTGACATTATCTTTGCCGGAAGATTTCTGTTTTCATACTAGCCGCGAATCGCAGCACACATGTACCTAATAATCATACACTTCTTCAACAACCATGTGCTTGATGCGATAGTCTGTCAATCTTGAGACATATGATGAATGCAGATAACTTGATCATGCTGGTCAGCCATCCAAAAGCAGTCCCACCCTCATCGCTATGTTGGCAGTACCGATGCCCACAGTTGTACTTGCACTCACTGGCACGTGTCCTTCTTATCTCGCCAGCTTGGATCGCAACTACTCAGCACTAACTGCGCAACTCCCTCTCTCAGAAGTCTAGAAGAAAGATGCATCTGGTAACCTTGACCGGTGCCAACTCTTCAAGCCCGGACGTCCTGTATCCGCCTCAACCACCTATTACTACCCACCTCCTCCTCCTCCTGGCGACCCATCACCAAGCAGACCTCAAGCCGCCATGACCACAACAACAGCCGCCTCCTTAATCGCGTCCCTAGAATCCCACCTTGCACCCACCTTGGTCTTCACATCCCCACCAACATCACCGAGTCAACCGTCACTCCATCTAATCGCCCAGGCTACCCTCACCAAGCTACGCAACATAGGCCCTGGCCGCGTGAAAGACATGCGTACTCTTGGCCACTCGAAACAAATCATCAGCCACATCCCCATTGCCGCCGCACCGCCGATCTGCAGCAAGATCAACGATACGATGCACTCGGCGGTCATAATGAACGGGGAGAAAGTCGCTGCGTTGAGCATGTTGCCTTCAGAGGGCAAGGAGGCGGCTAAAGAGCTGGCGAGGTGTGTGGGTAAGATGAAGTTCGTGGGCGGTTGTATTGGGATGAGTCGGAATATCAAGTTGAAAGAGGCGGAGTGGGAGGACCTTTGGGATGTGGCGGAGAGGTATCGAGTGCCGATTCTGTTGCGGGAGATGTGGCCGGTGGGATCGGAGGTATGCTGCTTTTCCGTTCTTCAGATATCAAGAGGAAGAGGAAGCATGTAGACTGACATGCGCAGATACCGGATTACCAACACAGTTTCCCTTCTTCGGTATACGCGCCTCTCCTGACACATATCCATTCGTCGCAAACTACGTCTCCTCTCCCGCTGTTACACCTCTACCTCAGCTGCGTCTTCGATCGCCACCCTGCTCTCCGTCTCATACTCGCGCATCCCGGCGCGCTACCCTCGCTCATTCCACGCATCGAGATGCTGCTCACCACTATCCCCTCTGCAGATAAACCGAAGCGAAGTTTCCTAGATGTCTGGCAACACAACATCTACCTCACGACAGCGGACGCACAAGACATGTCGAGTCTAAGAGCGCTACTGGAACGGATACCCGTAGACAGGGTGTTGTATGCGAGCAACTACCCGCTTGAAGAAAGAGGGAAAGAGTTGATGGAGGAACTCAGGGAGAGCGGGTTCTTGACACAGGTGGAGTGGGACAGAGTTGCGTGGGGGAACGCGGAAACGGTGTTTAATTTGAAAGGGGCAAACATGAAGGCAGGGAGGAGGTAAACTACGTCTGCAGTGTGCGACGACCTAAATTGCAAGTAGCGAAGACGTAGAAAACAGTCACCTGGCATGCGCAAAGGTCATTGATAGCTCATTCCTGTGCATTCATGATATGTGTATATGAACGCCCTGCCAAGTCATGACTCTCAGCCTGTGGTATCTTTCATGTCAAATCGTCGTCGTTGCCGCATTGCCGTGTCTCTTCGCTTGCTCGCTCGCTCGTGGGTATGTCGGGCGCTTATTTCTTGCCGGACTTCTTGATGCCCTGGGAGCCGGTGTTGAGCGGTCCCTTGCCCTTGCCGACCGTCTTGGCTAGGTCCTCACGCTGCTTCTTCTCTGTATATTGTCAGCACGTCTGTCCTTGTTCTTCGGAGCCTTGTGGTGGCGCTTCGGGGCCGATCGTAGTATAGGCGTCGGAGAATGGGATCTAGGGCGTTACGCACCAGCAGCGAGCTTTTGCTTGTAGGCGAGGTCATCCTCGTCGAGCTCGACGGCCTTCTTCTTCTTCTGCTTGTTGTGGATGGGGTTTGTACCGGCTGTGGTATTCTGTCAGCCTTGACCCCGCTTCAGTTTGCGCAAAAGTTAGGGCGCTCACCTCCTTGTCCTGAAGGCATCTTGAAAAAATCGGTTGGCCTGGTAATCCGGTCTTCGGTGTGTAGGTGGGAGGGTGGAGAGATTTGGTCGGGCGTCGAAAACGTTAGGCGGTCGCGGGCGGTGGGAAAGGGTCTCGACGCCCGAAAAAGTGGGATGCGCACAGCCACAGAGCTGTGGCGGATGGGCACACGTGATCAATCACGTGTTGGTCCCAGAGCTGGGGAAGCTGGAGCTCAACTCAGCGCTGATGAGGCTCATCTAGCGACCCGGGATACCGCGGCATGTCATATGCACCTGTAACAGTTCATCACCGAAAACACATGCGCGTCGCGTGGTGTTGCCCGAGAACATCTTAGGGGCATATTGGCTTAGGCTCGTTCGTTTGTTGGCTCCCCGCGTGCCCATCTCTGGAGGATGCGATATGATGGTCACCGCCCGCAACCAATGTGCCGACCCACCCGAACTCCACAGCTGGCTATCAAGCGATGTTCTCTAGCATGATTCATGTGATACCTACTCTCCGTTCACAACATGAAGTCGTCCATAATGATCCGACGCTCTCTCTACGACTCGACTGTGGCATCAGCGCCACACATGCGCTTCTCAAGAACCACTCTCGCAGTTTTAAGCCTCAATTAATC